GTAATGGGACCGAACCACCGCAAGGGCATAAGTAGCGACGGACACAATGGCGTCGCGGTTGAAGCTCTTAAAGTTCTCCCACGCTGCCTTGCACCTCTAGATGATGGTGTCCGAATGTTGTAGCCTGCCGTCGGGCTGAGTAGCCAGTTCCAGGTCGATGCAGTCAAGCACCGGTTTAATTGCGGCGACTACAGCGTCGAAGTTATCCCTTTGGGTCCTGGCCTCCTGCACCAGCACATCAAACTGTGCCTTGGCTTTATGATGGTAGCCTGCAAGCGTTACAATGTTCCATCATACAAGGAGACTACTTCAACAGTAATTCCGACCAGGAGGTATTCACCTTTCAACTCCACGGCCAGTTTGTCTGCTCGCTCTGACTCCTTCGCCTTCTCCTATCGAAGTTGTTCGACGGCCCGACGCAGTTGGCCGAGCTCCGCATCTTGCTCTACAAGCGCAACAGTTATCACAAAAAATATGGCTGTCCAGCAATACAAAGTACATTCGGCGATATACCGTACCTATTTTCTGCTCGGATACACTTTTGAGCTGTTCGGATTTCTGTTCCAACTGCTCAGAGGCACCTCTTAGTTGTCCGGAGACAGCGGCCAGCTGCTCGGACTGGCTCCACAGCTGCTTAGACACAGTCGCCAGCTGCTTGGATAGGACCCCCCTCTGGTATTCCAGGTCCCGTGCGTTGGACTCTGCAAGGTCTCGTTCACACCGGGCCCTCTAGATGTTTCTCTCCAAGAGGTTCATCGTCTCTTTGAGTTTTTCGTTCTCCTCGACGAGGGGCTCCATTCTCTTTATCAGCTGGCGGCACTGCTCGGCAGTCTGAGTTATCTCCTGCAAATGCACAATGACAATGTTGAAATCCAATTCCCAACATCAAAGAGGAGCATTCTAGACGCAGTACTAACCTTGATATGCTTCATCACCCCGGCAAGGGTGGTCTCTAGTCTTCTGAACTCCCTGGTGGTGTCCTCCTCTTCGACAATTACTATATCATCACCGTGCTTTCGGAGGATTCGGATAGCTTGGGGTCGAGGTTCATCACGCTCGATCTCCTCCACCTCGTCCTCCTCTGCTGCAGCTAGAGGCACCACCTGGGGGCTCGGTGGCCGGATAGCGGGTCCGACCATGCCCTCCGACGCCTCGGGGAGCGCCGTCTGCTCCTTCAGCATCGCAAGATTCTCCGCTCTAGATTTCAGAGCGACGCTAGTAACTACAGCTTCTACTCCTGAGGACCCAGCGGTGCCCGCCGTTGCCGAGGGTGTTGTCACCGACTCATTCGCCGTTGATGACAACTGTTCACCACCGCCAAGTCCGCCAACGGTGGCGATTGGCTCCCCCGCATGCTGTCGAGCACCCGGAGACTCTAGGATGGGGTCCACCGGCATCCTTTCCACCCCAGGGCCAGCCTTTGGCTGCTCGTCAGTCTAGACGGGCGGGACTGGATCCATCGTACGCCTTGCACTGCATCAAATCAGCTCGTCAGTCACCACAAAAGTTAAGAAACTACAACAAAGTAACTCCAAGACAAGGATACTTACGGTTTGGTCTGTCGGTTCAATTTTTTGAACCGGCGGTGCCTGCCTGAGCCCCCAGGCGCAGCCGTGGGGTCGACTCCTGTGCTCTGCGGGGGAGGTCTCGGCTCCTCCACAGTCGACCTCTGTTCTGCCCGCTGCTCTGGGGCCCTCTCCGCCTACTGCTCTGGGTTTGCCACCGCCTGTTGATCGGGGACTCCCGTCGCTTGCCCCACAGGGACTCCCGTCATCTGCTATGCAGGAACTCCCCTCGCCCGCTGCTCAGAGACTTCCCTCGTCTGTGGCTTAGGGACTTCATCGCCTCCCCTTGATTGATCCCCCACACGCGTGCTACGTGGAGGCACCTTCGTGCTCGATGGAGGAGCCGTCGGAACTTCGTCGTCATCAGACCAGTTGAACACAGCGGTCCTTTGTGTTCGAGTGGTCTGATCATCGCCAAGCGAGATGCCGCCAGGTTTGATGGGAGCAGCAGCTGCTGTCTTCCTCCTCTTCTGGGCCGACTCGTCTACCGCTGCCCTCTTCCCCCAGGCTTTCTCCGACACCGGGGGAGAACTCTCCGTTCGACCAACATCCGTACCTCCGGACTCCGATGAGACGTCGGTGGCACTTCCTTTAGGTTGAGTCGATGGTCGTGCATCCACAACTAGCGGCCAATCGCCCTTTGGCACACTTGAAAAGTACACCACCCTATCCTATGAGTGGATCTTCGCATAAGTAAATCAGTCCACTGCTCGGCAATGACAAAGGATAAAAAGCTTTAGGAATACACAACTGAGATATTTACCTAAGGAGGCAGATTTTTGCAGTTGAAGGGCTTCATATACCCTGACATGTTGAATGAGGAAAACAGAGCGAATAGCTCTGCAGCTCACTCTTCACAAACGTTCCTCGACAGCATCTCTGGCCTCTCCCGGGTACCGTCGGTCTCCCCCTTGAACTCGAAGGCTGGGTGCGCCCTCTCCTTACAGGGCTACACGCGGCGTACTATAAAACTCGCCGCTACCAATCCATCGTTGGTCTTCACGCCCTTTATTAAGGCAAGAAGCTCCCTCACTTGCTCCATGTCAGCGCTGTTCGGCGTCTCCGACCAGCTCCTCTGGCTCTCCGGGATGTGGTCGGCGTCGCAGCGGACGGCTAGGTGGCTCTGTTTCATGTATAACCACCTAGCATTCAACCCCTTCAATGATGTGTTCAGCGGCACAGTAAGGTACTCGCCCGCCATTCCATCGTGCAGCTGAAGGTACACCCCGCCGACCACCTTGGAACCACCGCTGCCTCTCTTTTTCAGCCAGAACAGGTAACGGAAGAGGTTGAAGTGGGGGAGGATTCTAAGATATGCCTCATAGAAATGGATGAAGATTGAGATGTGCAGAATGGTATTGGGATGGAGGTTGCACAGACTAACCACCTAGAGCTCCAATAGATCCCTCAGGAACGGATGAACAGGAAATCCCATCCCGCACTAGAAATAATCCTTGAATACCACCACTTCATCGGTATGAGGCGTTGGGAAGGACTCACCGAGGGCCGGCCGCCATCCGACAGTAGCACGGTCAGGAAGAACGCCAGCCTCCACTAATCTATTAAGCTCCGCCTCTCCCGTTCACGATGGCACCCACACTTCATCACGTCGGGCACCGGCGCTTGCCTTCTTGGGGCTTGTTTTCTTCGATTTGGTAGCTCTTTTCTTTGGCGCCATCTCTCCGATGTGATTGGGGTTTGGCGGTGGAAGCAAATGTGGATGCGAATCTAGAAATGTGAGGATTGAGGATAAAGACAGAATGGCAAAGTGGCAAAGATGGGAACGCGGGATGCGGTGGCACAGTTATAAAGCACTTTCCCCACACTTTTGCATTCGAGGGTTTTTGGGGAACCATTCCCACGATTTGCGCTCCTCTGAATTCTCCAATGTTGCTTAATGGGCCGTAACCTGGGCTTTCACGCAACCGCAGCCCACGTCTCTCATTTATTGCTACCGTTGGTTATCACTCGCCGAATAATCGCCGACTTCTCTGCCATTTATTGAGGCTCAGTAACAGTTACTGTACAACCATTACTCTAGTTTTTTCTCCACGGTTGGGTTTTTTAGATATCTCCGTAAACGGTTCGGGGACTGGTTGCTTGCTCGACTAGTCTTTTTATTATTTTTCTGTTTCTGACCCTGCACCACATGACTGTGTCACCTACTGTCAGGCTCGGGGACTAAGTGGGCACACTTAACCTTGCGGTGAATGTGCTCTCTCTCATTTTAGGGCTACGCTCGAGGACTGGCTTCCTGCTCGGCTGGTCTTTTACTATTCTTCTACTTTAGACCCTAGCACCACATGACTACGTCATCTACTGTTAGGCTCGGCGACTAAGTGGGCACACTTCACCTCATGGTGAATGTGCTTGCTTTATTCCGGAAGACTCCACGCCTCTTGAAGTTGAAGAAGACTAGCTCCTTTTCTCGTGGTCTGACTCTAAGTGGGCACACTTGTTCCACTACGAAGAAATTTTTGATTCTGAACTTGAGCTCCTTACACCCTTATGGCAAGCCATGCTTGGGTTATGCTGCTCGGCTACGGTTCATGCTGCTCGGTGATAGTACACGCTACTCGGCAACTGCTCAGCAACTCATCATGGTGGTCGGACCATGAGTTCGACTGCTCGGCTTCGTTCGCACCTGCTCAGACAAGCTCAAGACGGTGTTGCACTACGGGTACAAGGCCCTCGGGGACTAGCTGTGGGGGGTATGACCCCGGATACCCATGGCAGACCACTTGGGTTGTGCCCACAGGGGTGGCCCAGCCCACAAGACGAAGCCTTATGGGGGTGCGACTGGGTGGCGCCTTCCAAGAAGACATCTGGAAGATATCCTGAAGATACTACGACATCTGTTAGGATATGTATGATCCCAAGATTCCTGTAATCAGTTATTACTTTCTGGTTATCTCTCAGATCTAACCGACTTGTAACCCTGCTCCCTAGACTATATAAGGCGGGCAGGGACCCTCTCCAAACTCATGCAATATCATACGATAGCTAATACAAACCAACAGACCATAGGAGTAGGGTATTACGTCATACTGACGGCCTGAACCTGTCTAACTCATGTGTCTCTGTTGCCTTCTTATTCTTGATCTCACGCTCCTCTGCCGATCAATTTACCTTCGTGGGATACCCCTCGGAGGACTGCCGACGATATTCTGTCGACAATGACACAAGCAAAAAAATGATCATTGATGATGTCCCATCTAGTCCTACACATACTAATGTTGAGTTAGGTGCCAAGGTAGACTGCAAAATTGAACAGTAAGAAGTATCAATACTGTCTGATGCTACTACATTGCATGCTTATCCTAAGGAACATATTGTGGCTGTGGCAAAAGGGCCAGATGATGACACAAGCAAAAAATAATCATTGATGATGTACCATCTGGTCTTACACATACTAATGTGGAGTTAGGTGCCCAGGTAGACTGCAAAATTGAACAGGAAGAAGTATCAACACTGTTTGATGCTACTGCATTGCATGCTTATCCTAAGGAACGTATTGTGGCTGCGGCAAAAGGCCTTGTGGTTGGTACTGCAGAAGTTAGTTAGAGAAGTTTGGATGTTGTTGCAGAAGTTGAGTCTTCTCTAGTCAATACAGCCGCAACTGATGAAACCAATGGTAATGGTCTAGATTCAACTTCAAGTGGTAATACTACAGTGAAGGAAGCAAATTCACACTCTGAAGGTCATGGCGATACTATTGAGAAAACCCTAGAAGATGACACCAATAAGAAAATGGTTGTTGATGATGAATCTTCTAATCTTATTGGTGGTGACATCAACTTAGGCCTCGATGAGCACAACAAGATTCTAAAACTGGAAGATGAACCCGCACCTCCTGATGATATGTTGCATAGTGATAATGAGGATTCTGATGTTGTTGCAGTTGCTGAGCCAGAAGACGACACAAGCAAAAAAATAATCATTGATGATGTCATGTCTGGTCCTACACATACTAATGTTGAGTTAGGTGCCAAGGTAGACTGCAAAATTGAACAGGAAGAAGTATCAATATTGTCTGATGCTACTGCATTGCATGCTTATCCTAAGGAACATATTGTGGCTGTGGCAAAAGCGGCAGAAGATGACACCAAGCAAAAATGATCATTGATGATGTACCATCTGGTCTTACACATACTAATGTGGAGTTAGGTGCCCAGGTAGACTACAAAATTGAACAGGAAGAAGTATCAACACTGTTTTATGCTACTACATTGCATTCTTATCCTAAGGAACGTATTGTGGCTGCGGCAAAAGGCCTTGTGGTTGGTACTACAGAAGCTAGACAGAGAAGTTTGGATATTGTTGTAGAAGTTGAGTCTTCTCTAGTCAATACAGCCGCAACTGATGAAACCAATGGTAATGGTCCGGATTCAACTTCAAGTGGTAATACTATAGTGAATGAAGCAAATTCACACTCTGAAGGTCATGACGATACTATTGAGAAAACCCCGGAAGATGACACCAATAAGAAAATGGCTGTTGATGATGAACCTTCTAATCTTACTGGTGGTGACATCAAGTTGGGCCTCGATGAGCACAGCAAGATTCTAAAACTGAAAGATGAACCCACATGTCCTGATGATATGTTGCATAGTGATAATGAGGATTCTGATGCAGTTGCAGTTGCTGAGCTAGAAGATGACACAAGCAAAAAAAATGATCATTGATGATGTCCCGTTTGGTCCTACACATACTAATGTTGAGTTAGGTGCCAAGGTAGACTGCAAAATTGAACAGGAAGAAGTATCAATATTGTCTGATGCTACTGCATTGCATGCTTATCCTAAGGAACATATTGTGGCTATGGCAAAAGGCCTTGCGCTCCCAAGGAGGACGCTGATGTCTGATAGCTATAAGTCTTGTCCTTATCTACCTAGGATACTTATCTAGAGTAGTTGGTGGCCATGTCAACCCTTATCTTTATCCTATCTTGCTTTAGCATCTAATTTAGCATCTCTAGAATATGTTGTAGCTTTCTTAAGTTACAAGCAAGCTATCCTATATGTATCCCTAACCTGCCATAGTTGAGGTAAGGCAAATGAAATAGAAATTCCAGACCCAAATTCATGATTTGGTTCTAACAACTGGTATCTAGAGCCTAAGTTCATCTGGGTTCTAATCCTACCCATCCCAATCCCAACGTTATGTCACATCACTCCCATTCCTCCCACTCCTCCCACTCATCCGTTGAGTCGGCGACTTCTGTTGGGTGGCGCCGGCAAGCTGCTGCGCGGGATGCGTGGCGGGAGGACGACGCGGTGCAGGCGGCTCGTGATGAGGATGCGAGGGTGGCACGGCTTGTAGAGGTAGAGAGGAGGGAGCAGGAGGCGGTGGCACTGCAGGCTGCAACGGTCTAGGCAGAGCGGCTCGCGACCGCAGAGCTCGCGTCCGAGCGGGTTGTCGTGATGGCCAGGGAGGCGGTGGCAGCTGCCCAGGCGGCGACGGCTACAACAGTGTCCCTATGCGCCAAGGTGGGCATGGACCGACACGGCTTCGACGGTGTGGACAAGCGTGGCTTCGGTGGACGAGGTCGGGTGGCACGCGACTACGAGGCAGATACGGACGCGGGCGCTCGAGCTGCGCATACGGACGTGGGTGCTCGAGCGCGTGGGCGGATGCGGGTGCACATGCGGCATGTGACCGTGGATCGAGCGAGCGCTAGAGGCACAACACGAGCGGGAGCGGATAGAGCGGATCGAGGCGGAGCATGAATTCACAGCGTGGGACGCACAGGCACGGTACGGATGCGATTTGGATGACTTCGAGCTGGATGGATGGGATGCTGGTGCATGGAGCCCTCACAGGCGGCGCGCCTCACCTTCCACGGGCCTCCCCTTCCATGGACCGATGCCATGGTCAACGTGGCCGCCCCGGCTCTCCTCTCGCCATGTAGACCATCTTCAAGGACGCCGACGCCAGCGGCGGATGGCCCATGCTCACCAAGACCAACTATGATGAGTGGTCCATGGTGATGAAGGTGAAGATGCAGGCGTGACACATGTGGGACGCTGTTCGGTATGGCGACGTCGACTTCGAGGAGGATCGGTGAGCGCTAGAGGCGCTTCTTGCTGCTATTCTAATGGAGATGCACTCCTCCCTCATGAACAAGCAGACTGCCAAGGACGCTTAGGAAGCCATCGCCACGGCATGCATCGGCAGCGACCGTGCCCGTAGGTCCATGATTTAGAAGCCACATCAGGAGTGAGAGAACCTAGCTTTCAAGCCAGGTGAGGATGTCGATGACTTTGCTCTCTGCCTCAACACCCTGATGCATTAGTTGGCGCGACGCCGACAACGACATCGACGAGGAGAGAGCGGTCAAGAAGTTCCTCCATGTCGTTCCCAAGAAGTACTCACAGGTCACCATCGCGATCGAGATGTTGCTGGACTTCTCGAGCTGTCGATCAAGGAGGTGACAGGTCGCCTCAAGGCCGTCGACAACCGCGAGTAGCTACCTCCTTCAGAGCCGGTCACCATCGGTGGCAAGCTTCTCTTCACCGAGGAGCTAGTGGCTCGCACGCCAGCGACAACGGAAGAAGGGGGAGACCTCGGGTTTGTTGAGCAGCCGCAAGCGGCGACCATGCAAGTGGGACAAGGCGTGTGGTGGCGCTCCTGACGGTGTCGACGACGAGCGCAAAGCCACCCATGACGACACCTGCAAGAACTACGGGAGGACCGACCATTGGGCCAAGGACTGTCGGCAGACGAAGCGTGGCGGTTAGACACGTCGTCGTAAGCGTAGGAGGGTGACGAGGTGGCTCTGTTCTTCATGCATGGGAGCATTGAGCCACACTCCTCTCCTACGCCGACCGCCACCGCGCTCCTCCATCTCGATGAGCCACGGGCCCATGTCTTCCTTGGTAACGGGTCCAATGATGACAAGATCGATGGCTGGTACCTCAACACCGGTGCCACCCACCACATGACCGAGCGCGTGGGAGTTCTTCTCCGAGCTTGACTTCGACGGGCGAGGCTTCGTCAAGTTCGGGATGCCTCCACCATGGAGATCAAGGGTGTCGGCTCCGTCATCTTCACCGCCAAGACCGGTGAGCACCGGCTGCTCACCAGCGTCTACTACATCCCCGTCGTTGAGGAACTCCATCATTAGCTTGGGTCAGCTAGATGAGAACGGCTCACGCATGGAGATCGAGCACGGGATCTTGCGTATCTAGGATCACCATCATCGCCTTCTCATCAAGGTGAACAAAGGCGCCAACCGCCTCTACGTCCTCCATGTGCAGGTGGCGTAGCCCGTGTGTCTTGTAGCCCATCGCGACGACGACGCCTAGCGGTGGCACGAGCAATTTGGGCACCTCAACTTCCAATCCCTAAAGCAGCTCGGCAACAAGGAGATGGTGCAGGGCATGCCGCGAGTTGAGCATGTGGAGCAGTTCTGCGACACCTGCGTCCTCACCAAGCAGCGGTGGTTCCCCTTCCCCCACCAGGTGAGCTTCCGCGCCAAGGAGAAGCTAGAACTCATGCATGGCGACCTCTGTGGCCCCGTGACACCGGCCACACCTGGAGGCCAGCGCTTCTTCCTGCTCCTCATTGATGACATGTCTCGCTACATGTGGGCGGTCTTGCTCGACACCAAGATGGTAGTTGTGGACGCCATCAAGCGCCATCAAGCTGCTATGGAGGAGTGCGGCCGCAAGCTTTGGGTGCTACGCACCGACAACGGCGGCGAGTTCACGGCGGCTGAGTTCGCGACGTACTACGCCAACGAGGGGATCCAGCGCCACTTCTCTACGCCATACACCCCGCAATAGGACGGCGTCGTTGAGCGCCGTAACCAGATGGTGGTGGCCACCACCCGTGCCCTCCTCAAGCAGAGAGGGATGCCGGCAATCTACTGGGGGGAGGCGGTGATGACTGCCGCCCATCTCCTCAACCGCTCGCCCACCAAGGCCCTTGACAGCAAGATGACATACGAGGCCTAGCATAGGCGCAAGCCGGTGGTGAGCCACCTCTGTGTCTTTGGCTGTCTCGCCTTCGCCAAGGAGCTCAACCATGTCGGCAAGCTCGACAATCGGAGCACGCCAGGGGTCTTCATCGGCTATGTGGACGGCGTGAAGGCCTACCGCATCCTCGACCCTGCGACACAGTGCGTCCGCATCTACTGGGACATTGTGTTCGACGAAGGGCGAGGCTGGGCCTGGGACAAGGCGGTGTACGACGGCTCGACTTCGACTCTCAGAGTTCGTCATCGACTACGTCCACTTCAAGGGAGCCAGGGGAGCAAGCAGCTCATCTTCACTGAGCTCGTCTACCTCAGCACCTGGCTCGCCATCAGCTCCGGTGAGTACTCCACCGCCTACACCACCAGCAAGTCCTCCACCACTTATACCACCGGCTACACCCCCCTCTCCTACACCGGCTCCCCAATCTCCTGCATCGGTGCCCACACCTTGAGATAGGCACCAGCAGTTTTGGTCCATGATGAGCAACGCACGGTGGAGTTTGCCACTCCGCTGTCCGACGACGAGGATCACGTCGATGCCTACCACAACGATGAGCCTCTGCACTACCGTATCTTGGACAACATCTTCGGTGATCAACCCATCCCTAGACTGGCGATGCACGACTTTGAGGCAGAGCTGCACCTGGCGTGCGAGGACGGTGAGCCTTGCTCCTTCGCTGAGGCAGAGGGAGACGCGTGACATGGCGCACCGCACGATGTAGCAGGAGATGGACGCGGTCAAGTGGGACCAGACGTGGGAGCTGGCAGATCTTCCCGCCGGCCACCGCGCCATCACCCTTAAGTGGGTCTACAAACTCAAGAAGGATGAGGCCGGGGCGGTGATCAAGCACAAGGAGCGTCTGGTGGCGCGCGGGTTCGTCCTATAGGAGGGAGTCGACTTCGACAACGCTTTCGCGTCCATCGCGCAGATGGAGTCCGTTTCGTCTCCTCGCGTTGGCGGCCCAGGAGGGTTGGCGTGTGCACCACATGGACGTCAAGTCCGCCTTCCTCAACAGTGACCTAAAGGAGGAGGTATACGTCCACCAACCGTCGGGATTCGTCATCCCCGGCAAGGAGAACAAGGTTCTCCGCCTAGGCAAGGCCCTCCACGGCTTGCGGCAGGCGCCACGAGCTTGGAACGCCAAGCTAGACTCCACTCTCAAGCAAATGGGGTTTTAGTAGAGTCCTCACGAGGCTACTATCTACCGGCGGGGCAAGGCAGGCAACGCCCTGTTGGTAGGCGTCTACGTCGACGACTTGGTGATCACCGGCACCAAGGAGGCCGAGGTGGAGGCGCTCAAGGAGGAGATGAAGGCGACCTTCCAGATGAACGACTTGGGCCTTCTCTCCTTCTACCTAGGGATCGAACTCCACCAGGACAGCTCCAGCATCTCCCTTCGCCAGACCGCCTACGCCAAGCGCATCGTCGAGTTGGGCGGGCTCACCGGCTGCAACCCAGCTCACACTCCCATGGAGGAGAGGCTGAAGCTGAGCCACGACAGCACGGCGAAGGAGGTCGACGCCACGCGGTACTGGTGCATTGTGGGCAGCCTTCGCTACCTTGTCCACACGCGGTCGGACCTAGCATTCGCCGTTGGCTACGTCAGTTGGTTCATGCAGCAACCGACAACAAAGCACGAGCAGGCCGTCAAGAGGATCCTCCACTACGTCGCGGGCACTTCCGACTACAGCTTGCACTACCCAAGGTGTCCCGGTGCGGAGCACTTCATTGGGTACAGCGACAACGACCTCGCCGGCGACATCCACACAAGCAAGAGCGCCAGCGGGACGCTATTCTTCCTCGGCAAGTGTCTGATCAGCTGGCAGTCGGTCAAGCAGCAAGTGGTGGCTCTGTCCAGTTGCGAGGCGGAGTACATCGCTGCCACAACTGCTTCGACTCAAGCTCTCTGGTTGGCTCGGCTACTCAGGTGATGAATCAATGGATGAGGATGTGATGGAAAGTAAGCATGCCGATTCCTATATCAAACCTGATGATCTTATAGGAAAGACAGAGGTTACTTCAGAGCATGTGTTTAAAGAGGTTTCTCTCCTTGATACTCATGCTAAGGGTTCCTCTGCACACTCAAAGGAAGTTGTCACTGAAGAGAAGCCACCAACTCCAACTGAAAAGAGGAAGCCTGAAGGTTAGTGATAATTTGTTGACAGTATATTGAGAGTGGCATTTACTATGTTCTTGTACTTATAATCACATATTTATATACCTGTTCTATTCTCTCGTTATCATTATGCCTTCTGTAACATGTTAAAAGGATTTGTGTGATTGTGCAGTGCTATGAGTGTCCAGATTTCTGTTTCGTGATCCTTACACTTTCGTCTTTTTTTCCCTTTAGTATATATTGCATAGAACAATTGTACATTTATGTTTTCGGGTTCTCTACTCCTTTCTAGAGGTATATGACACTTATTGCAGTTCTGTAGTAAGACTAGTGATCATCATGTCAAACTTTTGGCTTTTGTGGTACTACTCATTCCAAGTATAATTCTTGACTTTGTTTTAACTCGCTGTTAAATGAACAGATCAAGAAGTCATTGAAAATAATGAGCCAATCAAACGCCAGCGCCTATGGAACAAGGATGCTGTCAATATTTCTGATCAACAAGCATCCAAAATAACTAGTACTGGTACTCAGAAGGAAGTTATTTGTCCTGCTCCGGAACGTTCTTTTGGCAGGCCCAATACAATAGCAAGAAGAAATTCTCCAAAGGAGCGGATTGGTGAGGTTCTTCTACCTGTTCAAAACAGTAAGAAATTCACTGTTTCTATCTAATTCTTATCTCATACTGCAGTACCACCTGCCAAAACATCAGCAACAACTTCGTTAAGAATTGATCGGTTTGTGCGCCCATTTACTCTGAAAGCTGTGCAAGAACTTCTTGGTAAAACTGGATCTGTCTGCAGCTTTTGGATGGATCAAATCAAGACCCACTGCTACGTCACAGTATGATCTGATCTTCCATACCCTATGTTACCTCCTTATTCTTCCCCTGAACCGATTTGCCATTTCTCCAATTGATGGTTTATTTTGTTGTCATTACACATATTGTATTACCTCAATTCCAAATTATAGGTTATTTTGGCTTTTCTAGATACATAGTTTTCTATGTATTTAGACATAGCTTATATCTAAATGCATAGCAAAAGTGTATCTAGAATGGACAAAACAACCTATAATTTCTGGAGGGTGTGTCATGTAAAGCTAACACTTCCATACAGCAAATGTAGGGAATATTATCTTAAGTACTTGCTCTGTTCCAAAGACCAAAATTTAGGTCGTTTTAGTTTTGTCCTAGTCAAATTTCTCTAAGTTTGACCAAATTTGTAGAAAAAATATATTACCAACTCTAATTCCAAATAAATAATCTGTTGAGGCGTTTCATGGTGGATTTAATGAAACTAACTTAATGTTGATGTTGGTGTATTTTCTTAGTAAACTTGTTTTTGACCATTTATAGCCTTTTCACCCTGCATAAATCTTGCTTTCTGTATGCTTGATAGTAGCCAGTTTTACAAGCACAACTTGCAGACTACATCGTTTACAAACTTACAATTGAGCTTGATTCAGTCACTGTTGATAACTTTGGTTTTAGACGAATGGTAGCTTTGTTGTCTGGTTGTTCATGATACGCTCAGAGCATTTCGTGATATGTTGCCTTTTTGTTGTTTATTCCTTTTAGTAGCATGGCTTTGATGTGCCTGCTTCTCCTACCTCTCTGATTCGCAGTACTCTTCAGTGGAGGAAGCTGTGGCTACGAGGAATGCTGTCTACAACCTCCAGTGGCCCCCAAACAACCACAACTATTTGATCGCTGAATTTGTCGATCCAGAAGAGGTAAAGCTCAAACTTGAAACTCCTCTGCCATCTCAAGTGCCGATCAGTCCGAGCACAGTTGCAGCACCGCAGGCAGCAACCTTCCAACAGCCAGAGGCTAACCAAACCCTAGTACCTCCCCATGCTCCTGCTACTTCAAGGGGTTTGTTGCCCACTCCAGAACCATTTGCCAAGCTGCCTCCTACCTCTGACCCTGGACCAGCAAGGGAGAGCCTTCCTCCCCCTCCTCCAATGAAGCTGGAACCTGCCCGGACACTGGATGAACTCTTCAAGAAGACACAGGCGTACCCAAGGGTTTACTACATGCCACTGTCAGAAGAGGAGGTATCTGCTAAACGTGCAGCTCACGACAATGGTAAGAGGGGATAGTGGGCTCTAGTTTGTTGCTTAGGCTCTGTTCGGCTGGTCTATATGTTGTTTATGCTGATTTAAACGGTTGATTTGTTGGGAGAAAAAAACATTATACCATCCGGTTGATAAGCCGACTTACGATGACAAGCCTAAGCTGGTATTTTGGCATCTTGTACTTGTCACAGCTGTTTTCAGATGCAACCGTACTCTTGTCACCGCACGTCGATCGACAGGTTCTATTCTCGCACCTGACTCTACCAGACCAGCAGCTGCAGCTCTAGGAAGAACTACTGCACCGTCCTTGTCCCTACATTTAGCTGGTAGTGTGTTGAAACTTGAAAGGCTTTAGTAGTTTGCTGTGAGGGAAGGCCTGATTGGGACATTGGGTACGTGGTATTTTGGAGCTAAGAATACCGTGGTATCTCCAAAACACGTGTAATTTTGGCATTCTATAGAGTACCATGGTTTGTCAAAACTAAGATGGTGACAAAACATCAGGGATTTGGGTCCAAGAGATGGTGTAAATGCAGCAAGTTGACAGCATGTCAGCATTTTTGCACTAAGACTCGTTGAGTTCGTCTTGCTGCTGCTCCTATCGCGCTTTATTGTAATAGCATCTTATCGCACTTATTGTAGATGCATTTTGAATCTACCCTGCAATGCAGTTTTATGTAGCCCTTTCTTCTGGATTGTGCTTTACAATGGGTGCGTTCAGTTAGTGTTATATTTTCGATCATGGATTCATGGTACGTCTGGGATGTTGGAATTTGCACTTGCAACACCTGCGGATGCTACTCAAGGCCTGTTTGATTCAATAGTGCTAATAGTTACTCTGGAGTCTACGTCGTCACTGCTTCCATTTGATCTAGCTCATGCACAGCAGCTGCTGCGTTCCCAGTGCCCCAGTGATTCGTTACTGGTCCTTGGAAAAATTGAATAATTCTTTATATCTTTTGTAATAAAATACTGGTAAAAAATTGAATAATACTCTGTTCGGACTTGTTATGGGCTCTGAAAAGAGCTCATACACGGCCCAAGTATTCGTTTATTGCCTTGGCCCGATCCGAATCGTGTAATGTGACGAAGAGTCGTCGTTGCCTCTGTGCCTCTGGGTTTTCTTCCCCACGCTGTTATCTCTCGCAGTCGCACGCAAACGACTAGCACAGCAAAGACCCCACCTCGCTCGCGGCACGGCGACGACAATCCACCGCGGCTCGCTGCCTTCGCCGGTGATCTGGCCTCTTCGAGTCCGGGCATCAGATAATCATCCCCAGCCCCTCCCTTCCCGCCGAATCGGCGCGGAGAGGGATGGCGTCCCGGCGGGGCAGCAGCAGTTGCGCGCTCTGCGAGGGATCCAACCTGCCGTCCTGTTGCGCCGTGTGCGTCAACGCGAGGTAGGAGCAGCATCCACCCCTCGCGTCCCGAAATTCGGCTAAAGTTTTAATCTTCCTGGTGAAATTTCTCATGCGCCTGCCGGTTTGGATTTGGGTTGGGTCTTCCGCAGGCTGGTCGAGTACCACACGAGGCTGCGCATGATGAGGAGCCTCCGCGACTCCCTCCACTCCCGAATCGCTGCACGCCTCGAAGCCAAGGTTGGTCTTCCTCGCCCCCTCTCCCCCCTCTGACACACCTCTATCAATTCGACAGCCAACTGAGCCTATATTAATTAGTTATAATTACCGGGTTAAAATTTAGCATGGGGGCAAATACAAGATGAATATACCAGAACCAGGCATGATGGTGGCGGGAATAACTATGCCGAACCTTGAATTGCTGTACATTTATGTTGTCGTTAGGGAATTCATGCTGAAACGATTTAGTCGTGTCCCTCGTGTATTTTTTTGACAGAGCAAAACAGATGAGCAGAGGATCTGGAGAGCGAGCAAAGCACATGATATCATGGAGTTGAGGGATTGGCTCACTGAATTGAAGAGAAAAACTGCCATAGGTAGGTCACTCAGTATCACACTGATTGTCTGTGGTTGCGGGTGGGTTAGTGTCATGGTGATGCCATAGGTCAACGTCTTCCACACTGATAAATTTTGTTGGTTGTTGTTGGTGGGGTTAGTGATGCTGATATCTGCTTATTGCTGTTTTTGCAGACAAGACCAAGGTCGAGCAGGCATCGAGTGATCTCAAGGCAAAAATTGCGTCATTGAATTTGGCTTTTGTCACGGTATGCGTATCTCAGTGTTCATCTAGAACAAAGTCATTGGATATCTTGCTAACCCTGCATATGCTTTGTTTGTTGTTGTCAGCTGAAAAAGAGGCGAGCTGATGCAGTGGCCATGCACACCAATGCCATGAAAATTGCGCAGATGAATCTCGTAAGTCTTAGTATCCCCACACACACACACCTTTCATTACTTGTTTATTACACATAATAGTAGTGTAAACTGAATCATCCATCAGCTGTGTGTTTGTGCGTGTTCTCTTGCAATTGAAAATATTTGTTCTTTTTTGGCAGATGGCAACCACCTCAGATTGTATGAAAATGCAATCAAAATCTGTAAAGCAACTTTGCAGATTGTTTCCAATGCGACGAGTAAGTTTCTACATGCATATATACTCTTGTGATCCTTGGTTGACAACCTCACCTATCAAGATTCGATTTTGATCATATTTGGAGAATGTTGTTTAGGATAGTTTGCTCAACATTTTCCATGTTAGCATCATAAGTTAATTGTGTTATATACTTATATCACTACCACCTCTCGTCGTTTTTAGCAGGCCTAACAGGATTTAAAAGGTCAAACTTTGACCAATAATTAGTCAAATCATAGGGACGCTTAATGAAGATCTTAACTCTTTGCTGATTATGCGTTTAATGGTGCCTCTCCAAATCCCCATAAAGTGCTGCAGTCCGTGTTTAATAAAGGTTCTTTGTCCATAAAATGCTGCAGTCCGTGTTTAATAATGGTTCTTTGTGGTGTGCAGCAGGGGCGAATCATCTTCATATGCTCTTTCTTCCTGAGAGTTCTTTTTTTTTCTTGGGATTGGTTGTTTTTCCTGGTGTGTGAATTGTAACTGTGAGGCAGTTAGGCCTTAGGGCATATATACGAACACCCCTTTTCTTCTTCTTTAATGAAATGATATGCAGGTTTCCTACGTGTTCACCAAAAAAAACTTATGGGCGCTTAATGTATAAAAGTTATATGAATAGATTTGTATTTCACACTGTTATGTGGCTGCTAGGGTTGAGGATATTTTAGTGGTCAAAGTATCCCTCTAAATACTTTCTCAAATCCTAATACACCTACTAAATACAAACAGTGGGAGTGCCTAAAATGAGGGTGTCTTTAATTACTTTTTGGTATTCTGTAATAGTATTATATGGATCATCAAGTGTTCATTCATGTTTACATAAGGATTTATATCATACACTTCTTAATATGTAGGTTATTAAAGAGGGAGAAAAGAAAGACGACTACAGTGGTCTGTATGATTCGATATGCAGGGCTTGTCTTCCTCGTGGTCTCGATCCACATTCTATTCCATCAGAAGAACTGTCGGCATCTTTGGGGTTATACTTTCCTCTAACTATTACAAATTATTGTTCTAATGGTTACATTCTCTCATTCAGTTATTTGCTTAATTGGAATTCTATAGTCTTAATTGCAATATTTTTAACATTTCTCTATGGTCTATGACTTATCTATCTTCTGAACATCAATCTAATGCACACTGTCAAATTATTTATAAAAATATTTCATAGAGTTGCTTGCTTCTAAACATTAATAATCGCTGTCTAGACCATAGAGAAATGTTATATGGAGACCAGTAGCATTCCTTGTTATCTACAACCACCTGAGAAGTTTATATATTATTATGTTCTTGGGTTGTGTAAATTGTTCTCTAGCACAGATTGCAATAATACTTTGTCAATTTGGTTCTGAATTGGTGAAACTTAAGTTTGTTCTTGTTACAGGTACATGCTACATTTCATCAATATTGCAGTCCGTATCCTATCCGCGCCTTCTCTTCATGTATCAGGCTTTAAGGTAAGATAAAAATTTACTGTTCGAACCATGCATTGGAGTAATAAGAAGTATGAATGCAGTGCCACATTATCAGCTTTGATTGGTTAGTCCTGGAATTATAATAGTCTGTCTTGTGAATTTAGTTATTTTGATTGATCAAGGGTATTTGTTTGACTCATTAAGCACTTCGTTTAATGGGGATCTGTCTGTGGCACATCCACATGCTTTATACACAAATGATGTGCAAGGGTATTCTGCAAGTTACACTTGTTTGGATTTGTGATGCGCATGAGTAGCAGCATGAACTTTCAATTGGCTGCCTTGTTGATTCATTGGCTAACTTATTTTAAACGTATTAGGGTTCATGCTCAAATATATGGCAGCGGAGTTCCTACTGGAGCACACGACAGTCCCAGAGGTACTGTATATAAGAAAGACAAGAGCTCTCTATCGTATGAAGATGGACATATAAGACATAGACTGACGTGCTCTATTTTTCTTCTTTTTCAGCAAGGTTTACCCACTTTTTATACCTAGGAAAAATGTTTGCACAGGTGGTGAAGAAACTTCACTGACAGAAAGTGGTTCAAGTAACTTTGGAGTTGACTCTGTGGATTCTGTCGAGAAACCGTCTTTTGATTCCAAGAGAAGCAATAGCTTTAGCTTTTCTGGTGCATCTTCCCACTCCATGGAGAGGCATCAATATTTGCAGAGAGGAATATCACTATTTAAGACAAGTGTTACAGCCATTACTACCTACTATTATAACTCACTGGGCTTGGATGTGCCATCCAATCTTTCTACTTTTGAGGCGTTTGCTAAGTTGCTCCATATGTTATCGTCATCAAAGGCCCTTCGAACTGCTTTTGAATCGAACATTGCCTCAAGGTACCTGCTGTTTCATAGTATAACATGCATATCTGTGATCCAATATCGAAAGGGTTTTAAAAAAACTGATCCTGTCTGCTGCTTCCAGGTCAGAAAAGCAAGCGCAGCAGCTAAACAGATCGATTTGGAAGGCAAGTTCGGCCATATCATCGGACAGTAGTTTTATGGACAGCATGCACACAGCCATCATGGTAAATTCCTATTTCGCTCTTACATTGCATGTAAAACTTCAATTTCCATTTTGATGGAATCTCTGTTCTTGTCAGCCCAGCAATCTGGACAACCTCCTCCTGAACTCAAACGAGAGCTTCTTGTACACCGGTAAGCTGGTGAAGCATGGTGGCGTGCCAGATAGCATATTCGATGGCTGGGATCTGGTAGAGCGTGAGGTCCTACCACCACCGCCCTCGCAGGTTGAAGATGTCGCGCAGTGGGAAAGAGCCGTGTATGCTGGCACAAAAAAGAAATGACATCAATTTACATGTTCTCAACTGTTAGAACACCGCAAGAGCTTCAGTTTAGATATGTACCTGATCATCAGGTTCTGGTTCATGCACAGTAACAGTACAGAACTAACCTCACCCTGTGGCTGTGACCTGTGAGTCATCTACACTGCAAGGATGCAGAGAGGAGAATTGTAGTGTAGGGTTCATTTGCTGCAACATGTACATCAGTACATGTACATGAGTGCAGCCCTGTAAATTTGTAAATATAACTCCTATAGCGTTTAGAAAGGAAGGTAAAATGCCTGGAATACTGATATTCCTTCCTATGAGTACAACTGAAAAGAAATTCTTTTACATTCAGCAAGAAAGCAACCAGCACTTAACCAGAAAAGAGGTGTGTTCAGTAACACCTTGTGACGGCCAGAAAAAGAGGCCTTATTTGAGAAGAGAAGCGGTCCACGTGTGCAACCGACGTGCAAACGACGTGTCACCATCAGGAGGCGTTCCCTCCATTCCACCACAAACCAGCGGACCTCCAGCTTCGCCTCCGCGGCTCCGCCTCTTCCTCCACGGCTCCACCACGCATAACCCTAAAGCCTCCCCGCGTTGCCGGCGATGAGCAGCCTTCGAGCCATCTCCTCCCTCCTCCATATCTACTACTCGTCCGCCGCCGTGAGACGAGGCGCCGGGCGGCTGGGGTTCACGCCGGCCCTCGGCGGGAGCTTCAGGGTACCGTCGAATTCCAGTCCGCCCGCGTTCGTGCTCGACGAGGTCGCGAGGGCGGCCGGCGGGGTTCGGAGGAGGGCGTCCACGCGCGCGGCGAGTTGGGACTCGGAGAAGTCACCGTACGAGACGCTTGGTACGATCCTGTGCTCACGGGTCGGTAGCATCTGTTTTTTTTCGTGTGTCAATCCTGATGATCTACTTACTCGTATGATGCTGATCAGTTTACTATGTATCAAAAAGTCTTTGCCTTCGCCTGATTCTGATCATTTGCTGTTGCCATGCTTCTATGATTCAGTTCTATCGTCTAAAAAAACGATTCAGTTCTAAATTGGGCAACCTTAGTAACAGTAACGATCTGTTGCGCCCCTACTTTGTAGTTTCAGATGTGCTGTGTGTTCCGGACTTGGAATTGAAGGTGAAGCTAATGTGTGTTCTTTGTGCCTCATGCGCTTCAAAGAGCTGGGTAGGGATGCAGACGAGGAGACCATAAAGACTGCCTACAGAAGATTGGCCAAGTTCTATCACCCTGATGGTTGGTTTATTCACCTTTCTGAATTTTCCTAATATTCAGCAATTCTCCCTACTGTGTTCGAGGCACTATTTGATTTTGCTTGTGTTTCCCGACATACAATTCGCACGCTCCTGTGAACATGATTAATAACTCTTAGTTGCTTCATGTTTTTCTTATCACTGAGTTTTTCATTTGTCGCAAGCCCACAACACAATTGGACGACAATGCATCAGTGTCAATGGTACAAACTAGTGCGCGGTGACTATTTGACCCTCATTTTCATGTTACTCATCCTCCTGTGGATTCAGTGATAAACTCAAATGCATTTAGAATGGCAGGTCCACAAATCAATATCAACTTTTATTTGAGAAGTTGTGTCCAGTAGCATGTTTTACGCGGCATCAAGCTATTTCTCCTTCTATAGATATGTGTCGTTGCAGTTGATGTTTCTGTATCTGGAGCTGTGCTGCTAGGGTATTAGAGTTCTAGACTTTATGGTGAAATAATTTGCGGATTCCTTCATTCATAATTATTGAATTTAGGTAATTATCTCTATGTATCGTCTTAAGTCTTCTTGGCTAGGGAGTATGCACTAATAACTAAAGTCAAAACTAACCAAAATGAATCGAGCAAGTAAAGCCTGTGGCTACCTGTAATTTACTGATAGAAAAATGAATCAAGGAAGAAATTGGTGCCATAGTAATACAGGTGCAGTTGTCATTCTCCTTTTATTCCATCTGATTACGTGTCATCTCACAGTTTATGATGGTAAGGGAACCCTTGAGGAAGGGGAAACTGCTGAAGCCCGTTTCATCAAGATCCAAGCAGCGTATGAGCTGTTGATTGATGATGAAAGGAGAAGGGCATATGATAGAGAGCATCATGTGAATCCGATGAAGGTCTGAATTTTCTTGGCCACTTAGGTTATCATTTCATTATGTGCAGGATGCTGCTCCACTCCATGTTTGTATTTGTTTGTTAATTACTGTTGTCTGTTGCCACCTTTTTTACTCGGGGATTACCCATTTTAGTCACAATATTAGTTTTTCAATCCTGATTTAGCTTTATGATTCTGAAACCAAGAAAAGGGAAGCATCATTCCATCCTTGTGCTACTTACTTACAAAGCAGTTGTGTGTTTTGCTTTGTTTATCTTGCTGCAAAACTGGACTACGAGTGATGGTATATATCAGCAACTAAGAACTGGTAATAACAATTACATATGGGTCCAACCATTCGTATGTCTTGAAATTGTTGAGCACTCGACTTTATTATCTGCAACTGCAGCTACTAGAATGTGAGGCAACATTTAAATTGTTAGAGCATTATGGTAATTTTAGTTGAGATTATAGTGGTGACTTCCAGAGCTATGTCTGCTTAAAAGCAGTATTGTTGCTGTTCTGAAAATCTTATTTTCTTTGAACTAGGCTTCTCAAGCATGGATGGAGTGGGTAATGAAGAAGCGGAAAGCTTTTGACCAACGTGGTGACATGGCTGTGGCTGCTTGGGCTGAGCAGCAGCAACGTGAAATGACACTACGGGCACGGCGTCTCTCACGCTCAAAGGTGACGCCAAAGCGTTACACTGTTCCACTTCTCCTTTCTTTAATGAAAGGCAGAGACCCTGACACTTCCCTTTCAGAAACACAAGCACTACACTGATCCTCAATGCCGTCCAACATCTTGCTATGTCAGTTATCCACATGCTCTGTACTTTTCTCTGAATCTGACTTTCAAAATACTGGATCCAGGTTGATCCTGAGGAAGAAAGGAAACTATTTGCCAAGGAAAAGAAGGCATCTATGGAATTCTACAGCACAACTCTGAAGAGACATACCCTTGTGTTACGGAAGAGGGATATTATGCGCAAGAAGGCAGAGGAGGAGAGGGATAATGAGATCAGTAGACTTCTAGCGGCGGAAGGGCTTGAGCTGGATACAGATGAAGATGAAAACAAGACTTTTTTGGGGTAATGCTTTTGATACTTACCCCTGATTTATTCTCTTCCTCCATTCCAGCAATAGTTGAAGATCCAGTGACAACGAGTACACAAGGCGAAATAGTCTCGTTGGAAACCCTGGTGCCTGGAGATGTGCGCCAAGGATCCAAATATAATCTCTCGGGGCAGAGTTTAGCATTTTACCGGAGAGCAGAAAGAAAAGGCAAATGATGGATGCGTAAGGGCTGTAGTAGGGTTGTAATATGATTCAATGAAAAATTTCTTGCAAGCAAGAGATACGCTTGAGATATGTTTTTTTATTGTTTTTGGACGTAACAGTGATCAAGTGATGCTTGGGCTCTGAATGTAAATGAATAAAAAATATACAGATTTGTGACGTATCTATCCTATATGCAGGTAGGCGGGGACTCGGCCTGGATTGCCTGGGCGCGGTGTGGCGACGGTGAGGGGCATCGCGACGCGGCACGGAGAGATAGGGATGAAAACGGATCCGATCAGTGCGGATAATATGCCTTTCCCATATCCTAATCCACTTTTCTTTGCCGGATTCGGTGCGGAGCGGATAATACACGGATGTGGATGTGGATTTTTTCGGATGTCGGTAGTGGTCTGGATATGGAGTGGAACCAGATCGAGATGGATTTAAACTACCGGTACAGAAAGTGACCAATAAGTGAATATTTATAGTTTTGTTGTACGTTGCGATCGGAGGTGGCCTAGCACTCAATGACACAGGATTTATACTGGTTCAGGTAACGTGCCCTACGTCCAGTTTGGGTCGGTCGGTGACTTTATTCCTGAGCCTTGGTGCTCGAAGTCTGTAGTGGGGTTATAAACGAGAAGGAGAAATGTGGGGTATACGAGAGGCCCGATCGGGTCCGACCGGAAGGGCCGAGGTCGACCGGATCTCCGCTATGAGCTAGGTGTTCAAGCGTGTGCTTGAGGGGTTGTTAGCTATCGATCTAGTGAATCTCAACTTGAAGGAAGTCGACCTCATTCGTTGGAGGGAGCCCATTCCCTTTTATAGATAAAGGGGATGGCTTTACAGGTGAGAGGAAGAGAGTACGGATGTTTCTAAGCTTTGTTGCCCACGCCGACGAGGGTAGCGATGATGGTAGGCGCCCACAATATTGTTGATGTCACTGTAGAATGTCAGGTGCACATGGGAGGTTGCGTTGGCTTCTTCAGGAAGGGTAGATGTCGGTACCTGCAAAATATTATCGGTATGTGAGGAGCCCTACCACGTGTACCAGGTATGGTGAATCCTGGCGCCCACTATCGATGCCCAGAGGCATGTGGGGGCTTTTTGCCGTACGGGAGTCCAACGGCGCCTACAATACTGTAGACACAAATGTTGGCGCCTACAATACTGTTTGTGTCAGGGCGGTTGTGGAGCACTGTTCCCGCATGCGTACAGGGTATAGTCCCTGGTTCCTTCCGAGCGGGCCGTCCCCGGTCGGATGGCCCCCGTCGGTCCTGGTCGCGCCAGTCGGAGAAGAGCGGCAAGCAGGCTTCCTACGGGTCCCCGGTCGGAAACGCGGGGTCGGAGTAGGAAGCAGTGTTTTGGGCCAGGCCTTCCGATCGGAGAGACCGCCCGGAGGCGGCTCGTGCTCGAAGCGAGTGCTCCGGTCGGAGAGGTGGGCCGAAGAAGTTGACGAGCGGGCGTTTTGTTCTTTCGGGTAGACCTTACGGTCGGGGACCGAAATGTCCTTCCGGCCCGTCGTGTTTTTAGACTCTTGGGTCGGCCCATGAACTACATGCTGTTTTCCTCGGCCGAGCCCTGACGTGGAAGCCGGTCCCCGAGAGACCCCGGGTTTATGAACCTGACATAAACAGTCAAGTAATATGTGCATGCGTAGAGAATTATATGCTTGTCAAGAATTGATTTAGTAAAGAACCAAGAACAAGCAATAGATAATAAGCTTGCATTGCATTCCATATTGCGCTTCTCACACTGATAATTAACACTTAACAAGATATTTTCACTAAAAAATGATAAGTTATTAGCCAATAAATGATAACATCTAGCAAATTCTTAATTTAAAAATTAGAACATCATCAAACAACCACATCACAGAATAAGAGTTCTCAACTAACAAACTGTTCTCAACTAACAAACTTTTTTAAATCCCAAATTCTTTAGTCTAGGGAGAGAAACTTTCGGATATCCTATTTTAAACATAAGATAATCTACATAGAAATTGTGGATAATCATGTCCGCCGGATTTTACCTATTCCATATCCTACACGGCATCTGCACAAAATCGTATTTGGATTATCCGTATCGGCACGGATATTAAAAGTATCCACACCACTTTCATCACTACGGAGAGATCACCTGCCTAGCAATCAGTAAAGCAAATAGTCGAAATGGGTCGTTCCATTTCGTGGGCTTCAGCTGCCGCCCGCCCGCCACGGAGAGATCACCTGGCTAGCAACCAAAGCAATAATCAAAATGGGCCGTTGCATTTCTTGGGCTTCAGCTGCCGCCGCGAGCTGCAACGCTCCGTATTTATCTATTCTATTATATCTTCTACATCTACACCTAAAAAATAAGGCAAACTGAGGCCATGCATAGATGGCTTCCTGCAAGGTTGCATACCTTATTTAGGAATTGATTTCACAATTTTGACAGCAAAGTGGAAGGGACAGTTAGCATCAGCTGTAGGGATAGATGGCCACAACTGGAGGTTCCCAGTGGCCTATGGAGTATTTGGCAGTGAGACCAAGGAGAATTGGGAATGGTTTATGAAGATGCTGCACAAGGCTATTGGTTCCCCAAATGGTTTTATTATTTCAACTGATGCAGGTATGTTGCATTCATTGTGCTCTTGTTTTTCAATTGAGTGTTGTATGTTCCCCACCTGACATTGTTTCCATGCTTACTAACTGTAGGTAAAGGAATAGACAAGGATGTTACCAAAGTTTTCAGTAATTGGGTGGAGCATAGAGAACGCATGATGCATTTAGTCAAGAATTTCCAGAAGAGGTTTAGGGGAGAAGTGTTTGAGAGGAACTTATGGCCTACATCAAGGTGCTATAGACAGACAACCCATGATAGGCACTGGAATGAGATGCACAAGGCATGCCCCAAGGCAACTAGGTGGCTGCAGGACAATCACAAGCAGCTATGGGCAAGGTGTAAGTTTAGCACAGCAAGCAAATGTGACTATGTCACAAACAACATAGCAGAGACTTTCAACAGTTGAATCAGGGAAGAGAAGTCATTACCTGTTGTAGAGCTAATGGACAAGATAAGGCAGTTGATCATGGAGAGATTTTGCACTAAGATGCAACTGCTGTCCAAGTTTTCTGCCTTCAAGATTCTGCCAGCTGTCATGAAGGAGCTGCACAACAAAAGCAGAAATCTGAAGTATAACATTCACAAGAGTGGCCCAATGGTTGGTGAAGTTGGAGGAGTCAATAAGGACCTGGTCCCTTGGAGGTTCATTATTGATCTAGACAAGAGAGAGTGCACCTGTAGAGGTTGGCAGTTAATTGGTCTGCCATGTGTTCATGCCCTAGCTTTCATTGGCACCAGAAGGGTAGACTTAGAGGACTATGTTGACCACTACTATTCTGTAGACATGTTCAAAGCAGCCTATGCAACTCCAGTGCCTCCAATGCCAAGCAAGGATGAATGGGAAAAGCTAAACCTTGGCTTCAACCTCCTTCCTCCTAAATGCAACAGAGCAGCAGGAAGACCAAGGAAGAGAAGGATAGTTGGAGTTGAAGAAGGTGGGTCCAGCAGCAAGGGCAGGAGAAAGTGTAAAAGGTGTGGTGGATTTGGACACCTGTAGAAAACCTGCAATGAAACTGTTGCAGACCCTGATGCACCACCACCTGCACCTCCAAAGAAGAAGAGAATGACTTATAAACCAAAGGTTGTTGAGATCATAGAAACAACAGAAAGAGCCAGCCAAGAAGAAGAGAAAGGCCTCCACCAAGGGGAAACAAACCAGCAAGAAGAAGAAGACAACTCCAACTGAGCCTACACCTCCTGAGCAATCAGTGCAGTAAGTGATCCATTTCTTGCCAACATTGTTCTTAATCTAAAGCCAAGTATAGTTGATAACATGGTCACATCTCGCCATCTTACTGAGGTTCCAAGATCCCCAAATCACTAGGAGGCAAGCCAAACAAAGAAGTGGAGGTAGCCTAGGGGCCTGATGATGCCCTTGACCGGGAACATCAAGATGAAGCAACCTTTTGAGCCACCTGTGCTTTTGGTGTGCTTTTGTGTGGTTCTATGAACTTGCTATTGTAACTGTGTGCTTTTGAGCCCTGGATATTGTTGGTGCGAACTGGTATTGTAATCTGGTAATGTAGTGAACACGGCTATTGTTGGTGTGAACTTGATATTGCCATCCGGTATGATGTTCTATAATTAATGATCTGGTATGCCTGTGTTTGTCATGCTAAAATTAAGTCAGCTGTTAAGTTGAAGGTAGTGATGCTGCAATTTTCACTTTACAACTAAAAAATGGAACAAATCAAGTTGAAGTTACTCCATTCAAACGCATTTCATTCATATTTTACAAACATTACAAAGATACTTCATGCTTGCTTGTACAATACCATGCACAAAGCAAGAAAGCAAACAACACCTACAAACACACCGGCCCCAACCATCATCCTACAACTATTTGCTCTCCAAATTATTCTAGCCACAACAAAGATTTCGAGCAACTACAACATTGTTCAAGTTCAACAGAGAATTCTCCGAGCCTTCAACGTAGCCATCATCGCTGCACCATCCATGCCATCTCCAAGCGCTCTCGGCTTCCACATGAAGAAGTTGCGGTACCGTTGCCCTATTTCACGGTGAAAGCCAAATCAATAGGATGAACCCTACATCCGATTTCAAAACGCCAAAATGTAGCAAGAACAAAATCAAGAAAACTCACCGATCCACGATTCTCGCAAGTGTAGAACGGCTTGTCCGGATTTTTGTGGTTCTCGACGTCCGCTCCACGACCGCCGCTGTAGTGGCGTAAAGGGCATGGCCTTTGC